GGTCCTTTACCTCAATACTTCACTACGACCTTCCAGGACTATGACATTTTCCTTTTTTTTTTTTTTTCTCCTTTGGTGCTTAACCACACTGAGTCACATCCCCAACCCTTCTTTACATTTTATTTAGAGAAAGGGTCTCCCTGAGTTGCTAAGTTTCTCAGGCTGGCTTTGAACTTACAATCCTCCTGCCTCAGCCTCCCAAACTGATGGGATTACAGGCGTGTGCTGCTGGACAAGTGAAATTAGGACGTTTTGCATTGATAATACTTATATTGTTTAATCCCTAGTTCATCTTCAAATTTTGCCAGTTGTCCCTGTAATGTCCTTTGTAACTGTCCCTCCATCCCAATCCAGGATCCAGGTGGGAGCTGCATTTAGTTATCCTCTTTGGTCTCCCTTAACCTAGAACACTTCCTCATCCTGGCTTTGACTCATSACCTGGGCATTTTTGATGAGAGACAGGCAAGGTCAGCTACATTATTTGTGGAACCTTGTGTACCACAAAAACATGGGGTCCTTGCTATAAAAAAATATTTAAAATTTCAGGAGGGCATGATGATGCACACCTATAATCCCAGAAGCTGAGACAGGAGGTTCACAAGTTTGAGAACCTTAGCAAGAGCCTGCCTCAAAAAATAAAAAGTACTGTGGAGGTAGCTCAGTGGGAAAGTGCCCTGTGTTCTGTCCCCACCCTGGGTTTACTCCCCAGCACCCCCCCCAAAAAAAAAGGGAAAAGTAAAATGAATGTGAAAGTGCAGGCCTGCCCTGCTTGAAGGTACTCTTATGTTTAGAACAGTGGCCTTCAGCTGTGCCTAAACCTTTGTATTTCATTTTGTAAAACACTAGTTTGCTATGAGCTCCTCCATTTTGAGTACGAGCTAAGGTAGGATGACTCCACACTTTTTTTCTACAAGTAAACAACCACCATCTGCCTGTACAATCACAAGTGCAAATTGATGAATAACATATATGTACCAACTTGTCAAACTAAACCAAGGAGTAGCTGCACACAGGGACGTCCCAAATCAGGAACCCACCCAAGTTGAGCTTTTCACCATCAGCAGATGTGAATCCCTCACTAAGACCCTTAAGCTGATCACAGCATCCCCTRACCCTGTTACCTGGTCACTCCTTATGAGACTTGCCCAGGATAATCGCCACAGGGATGAACTTCTGATTTCTTGTCCCTATCAGGCTTTAGCAGAATGTGCTTTCTCCTGCCTGTGATGACCACGCGTGACCCACTTCAATTTTCAGTTTTCTGAAAGGGAAACTGCCACCTGTCAGGACCCTCTGCTTTGAGCACTCTGCGGACCTGCCTTGTTAAAACCCTTATCTGGCCACCTACAGTGACTCTGCACTCATATCTCTCTCTGCCTGTGCTCAGCATCCTGTCACCCTGCGGCTGCCTTAACCCTTTCTTAGTGTTTCTGTGACCCATTTATATGTCACTGTGTGAAGTACGTACGATGTGTGACTTGAACGTTGTACATAYTAGAAATTAAGATTGGAGGCCAGGCGTGGAGGCACACGCCTGTAATCCCAGCTGCTCTGRAGGCAGAGGCAGGAGAATCGCAAGTTCAAAGCCAGTCTCAGCAATTTAGTGAGTCGCTAAGCAACTCAGTGAGACCCTATCTCTAATAAAATACAAAAATGGGCTGGGGATGTGGCCTAGTGGTTGAGTGCCCCTGAGTTCAATCCCTGGTACCACACACACAMAAAAATTAAGATTGGAAGACCTGTTTGTCCAGTTTATGACTACCAGCTGACCCACACCTGCTTCCCSCCTGTGAATTTGTCATTTGATGAACTCTGACATTGTGGAAAGACATGTTTTGCCTAAGTTAATGGCATAGTTAGCTCACAAAAGGTGGCGAGTACAGAGGGTTAAAGCAGCCCAGGACCCTCTGCAGGGTCCTGATGAAGCCTTGGAGCCGGCCCTGGGGGCAAGAGCCTCTCAGGGCTCTTGTCCCATGACAGTGTCCAGGTTAGACAGGGCCTGGGTGCCTGGGCCATGTGTGGCCATCCTAGGAGCCCTGGCCAGCCTAGTGGGCCAGGCCCCTCTGTCCACAGTACCATCAATGCCAGGCCCCTCTGGGGGCCACTGTTGTGATCCAGTGTGTGACAGGGTCAGGTGCCAGAACCTCTGGTAAGACCTTATTTGAATATTGGAACTTTGCAGACATAATCAGTTAAGATGAGGTCACACTGGGATGGAGCGGACACCAATCTGATTGGTGTCCTTATGAGAAGCAACCGAGACACACAKAGAGAAAAAGGCCACATGAAGACATGGCAGAGGCTGGAGTGGGGGGTGCAAGCCAAGCACGGCCTCCCTCTCCCCTCCCCCTCCCTCCCCCAGGGACCCCCGGAAGATTTTTTTTTTGTACCTGGGATTGAACCCAGAGTACTGAGCCACATCCCCAGCCCTTATTTATTTATTTTTAAATACTTTTTTAGTTGTAGATAGACACAATATCTTTATTTTGTGTGTGTGTGGTGTTGAGGATCAGTCCCAGGGCCCCATGCATGGGAGGCAAGTGCTTTACCTCTGAGCCACAATCTCAGCCCCTATTTATTTATTTATTGAAATACGGCCTTGCTAAATTGCTAAGGCTGGCCTTGAATTTGCAATCCTCCTGCCTCAGCCTCCTGAGCTTTGGGATTACAGGCGTGCACCACCATGCCCAGCTAGCGTCAGTCATTTTAACAAAGGCCAGTCTGTGAACAAATCAGAAGGGGGCTTTGTATCAGGTGTGAGTTGCAGGGACCTAGCTGCTCCTGATGCCCAGTGAGTTTGCTGGGGCTGCCGTACCAGGGACCGCCATAGTCTGTACGGCCTCAGCCACAGCGTTGTGTGGCCTCAGAGTCCTGGAGGCTAGAAGTCAAGCGATGAAGGTGTTGCCATGTTGGCTCCTCCTGGGGGCTGGGGAGGATCTTTCCCATCCTGCCTCTCAAGGATCCCTGGCTGGCAGAAGTGCTGCCGAGCTCCACCTGGTCCCCGCCTGCTTCTCCTGGGGCTTTCTCTGTGTKTCGCTTCGGTGCCCAAATGCCCCCCTTTCCTAAATCCAGCGGTCACACTGGATTAGGGGTCTCCTACCTCAGTGCGACCTCATCTTAACTAATGATCTCTGCCAAAACCCTGTTTTCAAATGCAGTCTGTTCTGCGGTCCTGGGGKTCAGGACCTGAGCATATGAATTTGGGGGGACACAGTGCAGCTTGTAAAAGGCACGCTCCATAAAGGAGTGGGAGGAGGGTGTGAAGGGGAAGGCTGTACAGTGACCGGGCCACCGCCCCATGCTAARTAGAGGTGTTCTGTCTGTCTGCCACATCCTGTCATACAGCTCCAAGCCCTGGGGAGCCTGCCGTCTCAACCTTGGTGAGCCCCAGCATTCTGGGGAGCYGGCCAGACATGCACGTCCCAGGTCCTTCCTGGCTGGCTAGAAGAGGGCCCAGGAATCTGCAYGTCTTGCTCGATCCCCCAGGTGATTCTGATGGAGGTGGCCACAGGCCACACACTGAGAAACCCACGTAGGGAGGGGTGGTGGCAGGTGGGACGAGCACATCTGAACACAGGACAGGAAGCCTCAGGTCTACGCGGTGTTCAAGGAGAGGTGAGAGGACTCCTCTGCCTCGTCTGTGCCCTTTCAGCACCACTGGTGACAAAGGTGGTTCAAGGGGAGGTGGTCATCCGGGGGGTGTGTCTCAGGCATTTTTCTTCCATTAGGACTCCCTTTTCCTGAAGGTGACTGAAGCGCAGGTTCGCCTGTGGTCACCTCCTGCCCCGTTTGGTAACTAAAGCCTCCTGAAGTGCAGCAGTCAGGCCCCAGGGATGTCCACACCCCATTCAGGAAGGATGGGGTGGGCGTGGTTGGCCCCAAATGTGCAGCTGACTCCTGGCACGGTCACATCTCTTGCAAGGCAACAGAGAGAAATCCTCCAAGCACTGGGGGGCCAAGGGGCACGSATTCTGGCTTCTGGTTCCCTAAGACAACAAGTGCCTCAAAAGAAGGCACTCTTCAGGAGCAGGATGCTCGGGGCCCACCGGCTTAAACACCACGGTGGGGCAGTGTCCAGGGCAGACTGCTGAGGTTTAGGAGGGCCTCCCCCTGCCTCCACCACCGGCTGTGGAGCTGGGCGTGGCAGGAGTGGGGCTGTCACAGGGTGGCCAGCACAGGATGCACTGAAAGCCTTCCASCCCGAGGACAGGGCTGTTGGCTAGGCTTCCCCCCTGGAGTGGAGGTGCCACACGTTCTGTGCACCACCCGTCGCAGCTCCCAGATGGCGGCTGGGCCACAGTCCTGAGTTCTGCTCTCAAAGGCTAAGCCAGGTCTGAGCTCTGGCTCGTGTGCTGAGTCAGAAGACGGAAGGACCTGGGGCTGGGAGTGGGAGGCTGAGGAGCCCTGTCACTTGGCCCTCTGTGCAGCAGGTAGCACCTGGCTCCCAGCATGGGGTGGGCGCTGCTCTCAGACTGCTACTCACATCATCCTTGCCGCAGGGTGGGGCTGTCCCAATGTCACTGAGGAGGAGACCGAGTCACAGAGAAGCTCGTGACTTTCTCAAGCACACAGAGCTGGGGTTTGAAGCCAGGCAGCCTGGGCACAGAGCCACACTGCTGCCCACTGCTGGTGTATGATGCATGATGATGTGGCATCGTGACCTGGCGGTGTTAGTCCCCCCTCTGTCCCTCTCACACATGCCACCTTGCCTTCTGCTGTGTTATGACATGGCACTAGATGCCCACTCCATTCCCTTGGATTTTCCAGCCTCCAGAACTATAGAACAAATAAACTTCTGTGGTTTATAAATCACCCTGTCTAGGGTATTCTGTTAGAGTAGTAGAAAGCAGACTGAAGCAATGACTCCCTAGAATTCTCCTTGAGTGAAACTGGAGACTAGAAACAGAGACCAGAGACCCRAGAGGCTGCTGGAGACTTAGAACAACGAGACTCAACTCAGGATGGTGCTCTAAATGTATTCACGTGCCCTGCCTTCCCTGCCCTGCTCACTCAGGGCTTCAGACAACCCCAGATAGTGACAGTTTCCTGCTGTCGGTTTCCTCGGCTGCCTCCTTCTCAGGATGTGGCCTCGGCCCCAAGACCCACGGAAAGGCTGGAGGGGCCTGTTCATCCTGCAGGAAGCAGGGGGRGCGTCCATCCTAGGAGCCGCTCAGCGGTGGTCTGGTGGACAGACGCAGCTCTCCCTTTGCCGGTGGGGATTCCGCCAGGACATACAGGAAGCCCCCCAGGGCTGCGACCGCCACGGCTGTGCTGTGGCAGGAGCAGCCATCTGCAGGAGAGGGGCCCTGCTGACTGCTGGCTCTTTCTTCAACACGCCAGCRGGAGCGCTGCCCAGACGTGCCCCAGCCAGCTCGCCTGGCGCCCTGGGAGGCTTCAGTGCCCTGTCAGACCTGCCTTGCTGGGCTGGCACCCACCCATCCCCCTGCTGCGGACTGGGGGCTGCCAGGCCCCTGCAGTGACGGGCCAGCTCGTCCCCCCCTCCCAGCTGACCTAAGAGTACAGGAGTGAATCCTGGCTGCTCGTCTTGGGAGGACTCTCCTTTTGTGGGGGAACCTCCTTCTCAGCCAGGTGGGATCTGACCTGAGGCCCCACCCTGGTCCAGATCCCRCTCCAGGGAGACCTTTCTGGTTTGGGTACTGGGGCAGAACCCAGGGGTGCTGTGCCACCCAGCCATGCCCCCAGCCCTTTTTAGTTTTTATTTTGAAACTGGCTAAATTGCTGGGGTGGCCCTGAACTCACGACCTGTCCTCCTGCCTCAGCCTCCTGAGCCACTGGGATCAAGCCACTCCTGGGCCTTTCCTAGGCCGTGGAAAGGCCTGGGGCTTTGGGATTTCTGTTGCTCTTTCTGGCCCTCAGGACAGTGCCACAATCAGGCTGTCAGTCTCTGGGGACAAGCAGCTATTTGGGGAGGGACCAGAGCCCCCTGCTAGCCTGGACACAGGCAGCCCCCAGTTCCTCTGTTAGGCAGGCCTGGCCAGGGAACCTCTCTCTTCCTGTGCGACTTTGATGGTGGCCACAAAATGGGCTCTTTGGGCTTGAGTCTCTCTCCCCCCCCTTGGCTACCTGTGGGAAGATGCTGAGGCCGCGTCAGGGCTGATGGACAGACATTTGGTGGCTGGAATCCTTTACCAGGGTCCACTGGAGRCCTAGCTGAGGGCTGACTAGTCCACCCCCCGCCCTGGTTTTGCCTTGCAAACTTTGCAGTTTTTATTCCTACCCCTCTTCCCTCCACGGTTTTCCTTGTCTTCTCCCCGAGCACATTCTGCTCTCGGTCTTCTCCACACTGCTGGGCCCACCCTACRATCTCACCACAGCCAGGACACTGGTGGGAGAGGGGCACTGTCCCTCACAGCCCTGGACAACAGGCGTAACTTGGGGCAGCTCTGGGGTCACCAGGCTCCAGGGCCACCAGGCCTGTCTGTTCACTTGTCCACTGGCTCTCAGGCCCTCTCTGCCTTTCCTTGCTCAACCTCAGGACACAGAATCCCCTCTGTTGAKGTGGCTGATGCAGGTTCTAGTCTCYTGCGCAGACCTGACCAAGTGGGGAACCTCTGTGATCTTCAACAGGCCGTGAGTGCCCCTCACGTTCTTCTAACTGGACACAGTGTCTCTGGACCCCACTTCCTGAGAGGAGATGATGCGCGAGGCCCACCCTTCCCTTTGCTCCCGGACACGGAGGCCTGGCGCCCAGGGCCTCAGTGTGCAGGGGCCTTTTCCCACCGAGGGCACCTGTGCCAGAGGAGAACGGGCGTCTGCCTCGGCTTTCTAGGGTGCCCTGTCTTCACGCCAAGGCCCGTGGGCGCTGTTACCTGTGAATTGCTTCTCTCTCCTCTTCACTCTTAGAACGTGCGGGTGGCGTGGAGGGGCCGTGGGGGGGTCCTYCTCCTTGGCAGCTGGAGAAGAGACACAGTTTTAAACGTTACTTAATAAACTTCATCCCTCTTAACAACGCAAGCTGTTCAGATCTTCTCTGGAATTCTGAGGCTATGCTAGAAGCTTCTTCCTGCACCTGTCTGCAGATCCTTTCATGTGGCCTCGACTGATGATTTCTCAAACTGTAGTTCCCAACCGTCCCCGGGGTACGATGGACGTGCTTATGAAAAACACAAGTTCCTGCCCCGACCTGCTCCCTGTGGAGGTCTGGGGCRTGGGGACTTCTCAGTCCATCAACTCCGTCCTAAAAACCACATCCCCTTATTTCAAAAGTGTTTGCTKCTTTGGGGATCCCAAGCTTCTCAGGAGGACACCAGCGTTTCCTGGGGGCCTCAGTGTGGGTCCTGTCTGTCCTTTCACACTTGGGAAGGTGGCTGGTGATCGCATTTATTTACRGAGGAAGAGACTTGGGCCTAGAGCAAAATGACGTACTCCAAAGGCCGAGGGGCTGGCAGGGGCCACCTACAGCCTGAGCCCTGGGCCGCTCAGCTCTGAGGTGCGCCGCCTCCTCCCAGGAGCTTCCCCTGCCCCTGCTGCCCACAGAACCTTCCCGGGTCCCTCTCTTTCCTCACCCTCTCGAGAACTGGTCACTGCTTCACTTAGTGGATGCTGAGGAGGTTTCTGCCTCTTTCCTTCAGGCCCCAATGTCCCCCGGAGCCCAGGGTGGGCCCCCGAGCAGGTGCTCAGTAAGCACCGGTACCTGGTTGACTTTGCTGATGCAACAAGACCCTCAGGCCCTCTCTGCCTTTCCTTGCTCGTCCCCAGCACACAGAATCCCCTCTGCTGAGGTGGCTGATGCAGGCCCGACCAAGTGGGGGACTGCCTCACAACCTGCAAAACTTTGGCTTCCRAAGCTCCAAGCCCATTTCTGCCTGTGTGAGAGCCCACGCCAGCACAGGCATGCCACSACCTCTCCGGTGCCCCAGCACCAACAACACGTCCTTTCCCACCTGAAACGCGTCCCTCCCGGCCAGGACAGCCGTGCAGCTCACCAGGCTTCCCGAAGCATCCCTCCCGAGGCCTCTGCCAGCTGAGAATGGCCTCCAGCCACCGGAGCTTGTAGAAGTCGGAGAAGCCGCTGATTCCACMGAGCATGACTGGAAGCAAACAGGGGGCCCTCTGCAGACCTGCCCCCAGGCCAGCTCCTTCCCCTCTCCAGGGCCACCACAGGGGAGGAAGAGCAGGAGGTATGCAGGCCACACAGGGGCGRGAAGGAGGCAGCCAGAGACCCCCCTGGAGGGGCCCCCAGGCCGTGGTCCTGCTCCACTTCGGGTCTTGATCACAGGGAGGGAGTTGGACAACGGAGCCAAGGAGTGGCCACCAGGGGCTCCTCCCTGCCTCATCTCTAGGCTTTGGGGTCTGTTTTCTTTTTTCCATTTTCTCTCTCCCCCTCCCTCCCCATCTCTTTTTTATTTTACTGGGACTGAACCCAGGGGAGCTTGACCTCTGGAATACATCCCCAGCCCTTTCCTTTTTTTTATCTTGAGACAGGGTTTCACTAGTTTGCTTATTGCCTTGCTAAACTGCTGAGGTTGACCTGRAAAGTGATCTTYCTGCCTCAGTCTCCTGRGTCACTGGGATTACTTYGTGAGCTCTGTCATTGGGACAGCTCTTGGGGGAAGGAAGTGGTCACGCAGTGAGATAAGATGTTCAGCTACATCTGAGTTTCTGATAAACAACGAACACATTTTTAGTATATCCCATGTGATATTTAGGATATACTTATACCAAAGTTTATCCACTGCTTATTTGAAGTGCATATTTAACTTGGCACTTTGTATTTTTGTTTAACTTGGCAATCCTACTCGTGTGTGTGTGTGTGTGTGTGTGTGTGTGTGTGTGAGAGAGAGAGAGAGAGAGAGAGAGAGAGAGAGAGAGAACGTGTGTGTACGTGTGGGTCTGACCACCCATGAACTCCCTGCTTTATCCTGAGGGCAGAAGGCCAGCGCACTGTTTTCCATGAAGAGGTCCCTGGTGGGGTAGGCGTATCCGATGGCCTCAGCTCTYCGGTTCAGCTCCATCATGTTGGCACAGAAGACACTGATGTAGTGCTGACTCTGGTGGAACAGTCCCTCTGTGCATCCTTGCTGGGGACAAACACCAGGGACAGGGAACACACATACACACACTCAACTCGCGGTTCTGAGATGTGTTGGGGGCTGTGTCTGGGCCAGGACTTCTCCTTCCACCACTTTTCTCCTTCTCCACCCTCTCTCTCAGCCTGCTCCATCACTGAGGCCTGAAAGCTCTGGGCTGGGGCCTGGCTCTGCCTTAAGGTCATCAGAGAGGAAAAGGTCACTAGGAACGGCACTAGAGGGTCTCTGGCTTGGGTGGACAACACCCCAGAAGGCACGCTGCAAACGCTCCCTTGTGGGGCAATCAGGGACTAACCCCTAGGGCAGCTTCAGGGCTACTCAAATACAGGCCCTGGACCTGGCGGATGATTCTCCAGCACAGAAAGAGAAGAACAGGAATCGAGAACAGGCTCTAGAACCTTCTGTTGCAATGGTGAGATTGACTTTTTACCTGTTGAATCTAATAACATGGATCTGTAGCAGCTTGCAAAGAAATGTTAATTTAAAAAATCCCCATCAAACCAAGGACTCCTGGGCACTAACATTTTTGGAATGAAGATCATTAGCTCTAATTTTCCACATCAATGTGTGCTGAACCCAGGGGTCACACACATTAAGCACACAGCCTACTACTGAATTGTGACCCCAGGCCCTTAAAGAAACATTTTTTTAGCATTTTTATCATTATTATGATTATAATTCTGAGGTTTGGAAGGATGTTGGGTGTGGAAGAGGTGGAGTGGATGTCCCTTCTCCCAGGTTTCAGTCCTCAGGACCCCAAGGACAGKAGCCCCCCAGACCTAGAACACGTCTGCCCAGCTCCATGACCACAGGGGCTGCTGTGCATCCCGGAGGCCGAGACACTGGGGGTGGGGGGTGGGGGAGAGCTGCTGGGGTTGCTGGGCACCTTTCCCCACCCTGCAAGCCTTGGGTTACACCCTCTAAAACCCGCTCTCCTTTCCTCCAAGTTCAAGTGTTTTGAAAAACAGGCTAAAACAAACAAAGGAATATAAAAGCCTTAGCCTCACTGGTATTTCAAGTTGTTCCCTAGCGTCATTTTACCATAGAAATTGTCAAGGAATTTCCAGGGTGGGGCACACCACAACCACAGCAAGGCCACCTCTCCCGGCTCCCTCTCCCTGCTGGCCCTGGTGAAGGACACTGCTGCCACTCACCAGGGGCCTGGCTTGGTCTCTCCTGCAGGGAGCGTCCTCTTCCCCTCACTTGTCCTTTGCAGGGTTCCTCCCCGCCTCCTCTATTTTATTCTMTCTCTCTGTTTTTCTGAGGTCCTCAGATCCAGCTCAGCATGCAAGGCTGTCTCTCTGTCAGGCCAGCAGAGTCCCCAGTCCATCCCCACCCATCACCATCTAATCGGCTCATCGATGGAGCCCAAGGTGGCAGCTGACTCTCACCTCTCCCTCCTGAGGGCTGAGGCACAAATCCAAAAAGCCACTTAATTTCCTGGCATGCAGCAGACACACTACCTGCCGTGAGCCCTTCTTGTCTTCCCTCCTGTCCCCYCTGACACTCACCATTCTGGCCCAGAGGAAGAAGAGCAGCTGGTGGGACAGCCTGTAGCCTGAGCAGTTGGGCTGGGTCAYGAGTGTCCTGCAGAAGTCTGGGATCCTACAGGGCTGGCTGCTGTTCCTGGGGAGTGCAGCCGCGTCTGTTAAGGGTGGTGCTCCATTGCCACCAGGTCTGCCCSGGCCGATCCCCCAGCCTATTGTATGAGCCTTAGTAGGCTCCAGGCTGGGCACAGCGGGTGCCAAATAAAATACAGGTGTYCAGTGTCTTGATCTCCTAAATCTGTACCTCTACCTCAGGGAACAGCATGTTGGAGCTGTCTTGAGTTTGGAAAGCCACCAAKGGCTGAGACTTCTATGACTCTGTGGAGTCCTCAAATGACATCTTTCCCATCATGGCCCTAAACAACGGACTCTCGGATCTAGGCAGCCTGGGGTTCTGGGCCCCAAATGCTCCTGCACCCTATGACAAACCTGCCTCATAAAGAGAGGTAGCAGGGGTGGGACCCTCACCASAGCACTGCTCCTGGGTGGACCCAGCTGTGGCCTGGCCCAACCCCTCTCTGAAGGATGCTGAGAGGAGGGGGCACTCGCTGCCCATTCTGCTCTGCRACCCTGCACTGGAGGGAGTGCTGCCCTGGCACTTGCTCCAAGTCCACCCCACAGCAGAATAAAATGGCTAGTGAGCTCAGGCTCAGCCCTGCCTTCCCAGACCTACAGACCCGCAGACCCGAAGCCCCTCAGGGAGACAGGACTGTAAAACAGCTAYAGAGGTTCTGGGAGCCCACGGCCAGGTACGAAGTGTGCAGTGTGCAGGGGCAGGGTGGGCCCTGAGGACAGGGCTGAGTGAGGGGGCGGACAAGTGGTTGGAGCAAAAGCTTTGCAGTGGAGTGGATGGTGCCTTTGAGAGCCTGCAAAGAGGACCCTGAGGTTGGATCCTAGGGGACTGGGACCTGGCAGGGCGGCAGGAGCTGCCGGATGCTTTGTCCTGGAGCAGTGGGACTCATGGAACTTCAGGCTGGGGAAGGAGTCCCCAGGCATTGTGGGGCTGACTCTTGGATGAGCTGTGTTTTTGCATAAATTCTCTGGATGCAGCCTGGGGGTGTGGGGAGTGAGTGAAATTTTCATCCAGTGGGGTCCTCGGGCACCCACCCGGTTCCCAGCAGCTGCACCAGGCATGCATCGCTGCTTTCCTCTGAGAAGGAGTCCTCGGGCTCCAGCGCGGGGTAGACCAGCGAGGTGCTGGTGTGCGTCCAGGTGCGGGGCAGCTTCCAAAATCCGGGCTGGAGACTYGGCCGGAACTCTGGCAGAGGGGAGAGGTGGGAGGTGGGAGCCACCAGAGCGCTGCCACCTGGGCCACCCAGCCCACCACAGGGGGAACTGGGTAGCCCCAGGCACTGCCCATAGTAGCTGCCAGTTCGGCTCTGAGCCCGCCTTCTGCTCCGCCAGTGTTTGAATCCCCCAGAAGCTCCTGGGTGGACCCAGCTATGATCTGGCCCAAATCTCTTTTTAAACAAAACACACACACACCACACACATACCACACACCACACACACAATCACTCCCATACAGACACACAAAACCCCCAGGACATTTTTTCCCTAAACAATGGGTGCAGTGTTGGGATAGGCTTTGATTGACACCAGGGCATCCCTCTACAGCTTAGACACACTGAAAGTGCTGGCAGACTCCTTGGATCCCGTCACACGGTGGAGCTCTGATAACACAGGCAGCAGCCTGGATCGACTTCAGGAAGACAGGTGGGCCGGTGCTAGGGCCCAGGGCTCCCATCTCGCCTTCTTCATCTGTAATGTGGTGACAGCTCTTATTTCTGAGGGGTGTGTGCATAAGGATTAAAAGAGGATGGAGAACTCAGCTGCAGAGGGGCCAGGAAGCTGCTCCTGCAGCTAGCTGGGCTGCCCTRCAGAATGGGGAGCGCAGTGGCTCATGACCCCCATCACCCTGGCAAGTGAGAGTGAGGAAGGGGGACCCTGGAGAGGAACTGGTTTACAAGTGCCCCGCCCCCAACAAACAACTTCTTTTTGGGGTTCTGGGGATTGAATCCAAGACACTTTTACTACTGAGCTACATCCCAGGCTTTTAAATTTTTTTGTTTGGAGACAGGGTCTTGGTAAGTTGCTTAGGGACTCAGTAAGTTGCTGAAGCTAGCCCTGAAGTTTTGACCCTCCTGCCTCAGTCTCCCAAGCCGCTGGGATTGCAGGAGCGCCCCACAGTGCTCAGTCCCTGGTGAAGTCATAAGAAAGCACAGAACTGGTGCATGCAGACCCGACTGCTGCCCTTGCAGCAGACCTAACATGATTTTAGACACATTTTTGACTGTGTGCCAACTGATGCAGCTGCAAGGAGAGATGGCACATAGTTCATGGGAACATTAACTTCTAGCCCCAAGACTAGGATCCTGACCTYCTTGCTCCTCTGCCTATGGGGCAGCCCCTTGCTGTATGAACTGATGCAAGAAGTCATTCTTACCTTCTCTTTGTTGGCTGGGTTTGGCTTCTATCCTGTCTGAGCTAAAGGATCCACTGATCTGGAGACAGAACAACTGAGGCCAGGCTCTAGGAAGGGTCCCTCTGTAAGGGTCCCTCAAGCCTGGTAAGGACAGCGCTTGGCCTTAGGAGGCAGAAGACATTGTTGTGTGGCTGGCACAGCACTAAGGTTTCAGGGGCAAAGGAGCACCTTCCCTTTTAGAAATTCCCCCGGGGAACAGTCCAGACCAGACCTCCCCTCTGGTGCAGGATGAAGGGCCATGCCTGGGCCTGTGCTGACCTCGCCTATGTCCTGCCTGYCTGTGTGGGTGGGAGAAGGCCCTGGATCCATGTCAGGGGTGACTGGGACACTCCCAGCTCTGCCTGCAGTTTGCTGGGCAAAAAGGGGCAGTGGCAGAACCTCCCTGTCCCCACCAGGAGGAGCCCGCCCAGGGGAATTGAAGCAAACACCCCAGCACTGCCTTCCTGACGCACTGGGCCTGCTCCGCTATTACCTCTAAGGTATCTGGGGTCACTCAGCTCCAGGTAGAAGACGGATCTGCGCAGGAGAGCCGCCAGCTTGTCCGCCAGCCGCCTGGTGCGCAGGCTCAGGGGCCGCAGCAGGGGGTCGGCCGCCCACTCTTCCTGCACACCCCGAAGCTGCGCTGCGAGGGAGAAGAGGTGATCACTGTGATCACTGCGCCGTCCCAACCCCCGCCCCCACCACCACCACCACCGTGGGCCGTGAGTCCCTAACGCTGGCCGTGAGTCCCTCTGCCTTGGGGGCTTAGAGGCTATGGCAGGGCCAGTATTGGCCATGGATCTGAGTGATGGGTAGGGCTCCAAGGGATAGAAGATGTTTCAGACAAGAGCCTGGTCTCTGAGGCAGTGCCCCACTGTCTCAAGGTTCAAGTCCTGATTGAACATTTTTGCATCGGGTGACCAGAAATAGTCATTTGATTTCTCTCTGCTTCACTTTTCTCATTTGTGAAATGGGGACAGTGACGGTTATTACTTCTTGGGGAGAGGTGTTAAGAATGAAATGATCTAATGTGTAGTGAGGATGTAGCACTACCCACCTGCAAAGTAAGCACTTAATAAAATTTAGCCATTGGTATTAACTAAGGAACTTGGGGTCTGCTGCCTACYGGGAAACCAGGGAGGGGCTCAGGGCTGGTGGGGCAGCTGAGGGACCCTTTGCTTTTAGGTCAGTGTGGGCTCCTTTACCACCTAAGACATTTTCGTGGTCCCTAAACGTTCTGTTCAGGTCCTGYACCTCCTGTGCTTGCTGGGGAAGCCAGCCCTGGGGTCAATTCATTGATTTCTACAGGAGTTTGAGACAGGGCTGGGGTCAGATGAAGGRGACCCTGGGTATGTCTCTTTCCTGGATTGGAGGGGAGGGGACAGGGTCTTGGGTCTCCTCAGGGTCCTACCTAGAGGAGCAGGGGTGGGCTGTGAGGAGGCGCACTGCCCGGGCTGCACCTCTTGCCTGGGTCTGGTGGGCAGAGAGCTGCACCCTTAAACAGAGGAGACTGACTGGGGATGCCTCCCCCCAGCCTTGGCTGCCGCCAAGCCGGGGCTCTTTTTGTTGCTTTGGTCAGGGTGGCCTGCAGGAGGAGCTCGCTGCAGTGGATATGTGTGTCCCTGCTGGCGCTGGCCTGTCTCCAGCCCTCTCCTTAAGGATTTTATATYTTGAAATTGAACAAACACTTGGCTGTTTTCTCAAGACCTTCAGGTGGCTTTGGCTGGAAGTGGAGGAAGCTGAGAGGAACCCTGAGAGAGTTCCTGCTTAGCCTCATGCAGGGGAGTGGCCTTCTTGGTAAAAGGCTTTCTCTGCACGCCCCCGCCCCCACCCCCCGCCCTTGTTCACGGTATGGCAGGAAGGGCTGTCAAATGGATCATTTCCTTCTGAGAATATAATTTCCAAATCTTTGCTCATGTTGCCTTTAAATCCTTCCTCCTTCCAAAAGACTCGATAACAGCGGGCTGAGCCCCAAAACCAAGAAAAGCAGCTCCTACCCCTCCCCTTTCTTTATAGCCACAGCAGGCTATTCCCACGCCAGGTGGTCACGAGGCCCTAGGGGTCAGAGCAAGGCAGGTGACAAGGAGAACTGGTTTCCCAGTGACCATCCTGGGGAATGGGGCTCACGCACCTTCTAGCACCCGGAACCCCACCACACCGTCCAGGTTGACTCCGGGTAGCCTCTCCTCCAGGAACAAGGTGGCTCTCTCCAGTGCAGACAGGATCAGGCCCACRATGGTGACCTTGCCCTCTGTGGTGTCTGGCCTGGGCAGTGAGGAGGGCTGTAGTGGCTGCAGAGCCAGGAGCAGGAGCAGGAGCAGCAGCCCTGGCCTCGCCATGACTGGCCTTCTGCGTGTCACACCTGTGGCACTCTCACCCAGGTACCTCTGYACGCCTTCCTCCGCCTCCTGCTCCACCGCCTTCCCCAGCAGACCCATGGACAAGTGGCCGGGCGGGACTGATCTGCAGCTTGGGTGGCCTGGGCAGAGGGCTCTGGGCAGGAGGCAGCAGGAGACAGATGGTGGGGGTGGGGGGCAATCCTTATGTGGAGCCCCCTGGCTGTCCCCTGGGGAGAGGAGCCCTTCTGGTTCTTCTTGCACCAGAGCCTCCAGCTAGGTCCTTGATTGAGCAATAGCAATAGCAACTCAGAAATCAAAAGCCCTGCAAGGCAGAATTTGTTTGTTTTAAAAAGTTTGGAATGAGTTAGTGGGAGGGCACATCCGGCTCTGAAAGCTCCCTCATGGGGGCACTGTTTGAGGAAAGTAGAATTCCAGCTGCAAAGGCGAGCCACGTGGGCACTTCAAAATGTTCTCATAGCCACATTAGAACAGCAAAATGCAGGTAAATCCACGCTCTRTCTCGTTTGAGTCAATCATTCTAGTATATTATTATTTCAACATATAGTCAATATAAAAATGGCTGACATCATTTTTCTTGTACTGAATATTTGCAATCTGGTATTTTACACTATTTCAATTCCACCTCTGCTGAGTCCTAAGCTGAGCTCTGGGGACACTGGAACCACATCAGCACAGGCCATCTTGTCCAGGGGCTACTGCTGACATTCAGAGGTGCTCACGTCTGTTGGACTGGAGGGAGGGTGGCTTCACCAGTGTGTTCTGGGTGTTTCTCAGCAAGAGGACAGTTTTCTGAGCAATAAGGCTATCACATGGACAGGATAAACTACTGTGGTTACTTTGGGAGGTGAAATTGAAGGGCCAACAGGGAAATTTCCCTTCTTCCTAGGGATACTTAAAAATCATTATGGCTTTTACTGCCTTTATATACTTATTTCTCTCTCTCTTTCTCTCTTTTAATATTTGAAAGGTTTTCTTCAAATACTACATACATCCTGACAAATACATTCTGACAAATAATTTTCTGCTGGATGAGTCTCCCCAGATGGAGCTGCTTTGGCTCACTCTCCTGACTTCTAACAGCAAAGACTGATTGGTGTGAGAGYGCCCTGCACTATGTACTTTCAGCACTTGGTTCCTTTCTCATTATCACCTTATGAGATTCCTCCAAGTTCTTGTCTCATTTACCCCCTCCACTACTGGATTGGACCCAGGAGTRCTCTACCACTGAGCTTCATCCCTAGCCCTTTTTTAAAAAATAGCCCTTTTTTAAAAAAAAAAAAAAAATTCAAGACAGGGCCTCGCTAAGTTGCTGAGGCTGCCCTCGAACTTGCCATTCTCCTGCCCCAGCTTCCCAGTGGCTGGGATTATAAATGTGCATCACYTCGCTTGGCTTCTAACTGTATTTTGAAATTATCCTAGAACGCTGAAAAAATGTTCCTAGAGCCTCATAAAGAAAGAATTACTTTGATAGGAGAAATACGGAGTTAGGGAACCGCGCAGGTGTGTACGCACCATTAACTCTTGGCCCCCAGGGGCTCCTTGGCAGTTCCCCGGGACCCACTTAGGGAACCACCTCCACTCCCCGCCCCTCCTCTCTTCGCCTMGCCCCTGCGCCTGCGCAAAGCATGCCTGGGGATCCGTCACATGACCGCTGCCTAGCGGCCAAGATGGCGCCGTCCAGCGTGGCTCTCCTGGCGCTGTGCCTGCTGCTGCCGCTGCTGCTTCTGGGCGGGTGGAAGCGCTGGCGGCGGGGGCGCGCGGCCCAGCACGTGGTCATTGTGGTGCTGGGCGACGTGGGCCGCAGCCCCCGCATGCAGTACCACGCGCTGTCCTTGGCCAAGAGCGGCTTCTCGGTGACCCTCTTGGGGTTCTGCAGTGAGTGTCCGGGGGCCTGGGAGGGAGGCTGTTCTCTCAGTCTGTCCCCTCGGCCCCGAGCGCCCTGGGGGGCCGAGGTGGGAGCGGCGCTTCTGTCACTGCTCCCTTGGTAGTCCTCAGACTGGAGGAGCCCTGTTCCTGGTTGCCGTATGTTGTGACTGTGGTAAGCGACTCCGTCTCAGGGTCTGATTCTTCTAGTGAAGTGGAAAGACTGGAACTGGACTGCGGTTTCTGTGACATCTGCGTGCAGCTGTCCTTGTCCAGCTGTGTGCAGGCGGAGGTGTCTGCTCCTTCACTATGCTCCTTGTGGACGATTCCAGAGGTTGACTTCTCCCCATCTCATGGAACAGTGGAAACAGCACCACTGCTTTAGGTCCCTGTGTGAAAGTGCGGGTGGAGTGGGACTTCCTTGACATGTCTCTGCGGTGGGAAGATTCCCCCAACCCCAAGCCTAGATCAGTTTAATTGAGTACTTACTGTGTGCCAGGCATCATATTAAGTAAAGGTGGGTAAGATTTGAGCCTTYCCACCTGCCATTCTAGTGGAATCTGGACCGGATTTGGCCCCCTTCTCTGGCTACTGAGGAACAGAGAAGGGTTTTGAAAAGGCCTTTTTCCAAAACCTGACTTTAAATTAGATTGCTTCATCCAGTAAAGGGGACATTCTCTTTCAGATTCCAGACCCCACCATGAGCTCTTGCAGAGCGACAGAATACAGATTGTGAAGTTGATGGAACTTCAGAGTCCCACAGGTAGGGTGCTGTCACCTCCAGGTTCTGTTACATTGGTTGGGGTTGGTGTGGGGTAACCTGCAGATGGCCAGGAGCTCCTTCAGTAGTGATTTTTTTAACTTACAGTTGGGCCCCCGGTTCTGCGGTATGGAGTCAAAGTTGTTTTTCAGACAGTGTACTTGCTGTGGAAGTTGATGTGGAGGGAACCAGCAGCCTATATCTTTCTTCAGGTATGTGTCAGCACTTGCCTCCCTCTGTGAGAACAACTGTTAACAGATTACTTTCTAGCCTTTTAAAAATGCACAAATTGGGCTGGAGTTGTAGCTCAGTGGTAGGGTGCATGCTAAGCATTGGCAAGATGCTGGGTTTGATTYCCAGCACCAAACATAAAAAATATGCACTGTTAAAGTGCACATTTGTGTGTGCACAAACATTATAAAACCATGGGCAGGACCCTGTGAATAGGCTTCTATAGCAYGTGTCTGTTATTTCTGGTATCCGTCCATGCTATTTTTCTGGTCATAACAGAGTCTTACATTGCATTTCGTACTTATCTAAGTGTTTCACTAGGGTTCTGTCTCCTTTAATCCTCTCAAGAACCCTAAGAAGTGGATTCTGGTATCACGTCCATAATGATGAGGAAACTTAAAATTTCTGTAAGTTGGGCTGGGGATGTGGCTCAAGCAGTAGCGCGCTCGCCTGGCTTGCGTGCGGCCCGGGTTCGATCCTCAGCACCACATACCAACAAAGATGTTGTGTCCGCCGAGAACTAAAAAATAAATAAATATTAAAAACTAAAAAAAAAAAAATTTCTGTAAGTAGCCCACTGTCACACAGATAGGAAGTAATAGAGTCAGGACTTGAACAGAGGTGGTCAGTTTGGTTCTAGAGTTAAACTTTTAACTTCTTCCCTTTACCAGTTTTTAAAGTCCAGAAGTACCTTCTGTTAGTGGGCTGCACTCACTTCCAATATGTGATGAACCGCAAGCTGTTTAGTTTCATCTTGAGGGACATCTGGATTCTTCCTGATTTTTTTGCCTGTATACATAGTATGGCTAGAGCACAGTGAGCACGCATCTGTGACTGGGCCTTAGAATACATTGCTGGCAGTGGAATTGCTTGTTTAAAGTTGATGTGCTTGTAAGATGCTGTGGTATGATCCTGGCTGGGTCCCCACTGATGGGGACACCCCCACTGTGTTTACCATCACCCACCAATGTTGTGCTTCCTCAGAGTTTGCATTCTGACAGGAAAATGGTATTTCTTTGAGAAGCTTGGAGTTTTTCTAGTCTGCAGTTCTGTTTCATGGATGGTAGAGAGCTGCTCATTTGTTATCAAGAATTCTGAAGATCACTGAYGCTCTGCCATGAATGTCTGGGTTTCCTTCTCTTTGTCTGTTTCTCTTTCCTAGAACCCCCCAGGCCTGCCGAGCATTGCCGTCTGCTGGTTTGTGGGCTGCCTTTGTGGGAGCAAACTGGTCATCGACTGGCACAACTATGGCTACTCCATCATGGGCCTGGTGCATGGCCCTAAGCACCCCCTTGTTCTGCTGGCCAAGTGGTGAGAGTCTGGGTGAGGTGTGAATGCTTTCCCCAAACTCCATCAGGGTGGGTGGGAYGAAGGCGGGGGAGCAGGTTGGACCTGGAGCAGGGAGAATCCTTGTCCTACGCTGAGCCCCACTGTAATGTCCACTTTGGTGTGTTTTTCCAGCCTCAGGCTGCAGTGGACTGTAGCCTTTGCCCTGAGGGCCTTGTTTATCGGCAGTGGTGAAAGCAGCTGTGGCAGCTCTAATAATCACTGCTGTGTGCCAGGCCTTGGGCTGAGCCTTTTATGCACTTTATTCCATTTGGTCTCCACCACATCGCAGTAGAGGTGCCTGGTGGTCATTGTCCTTTTACAAGTCAGGGAGGCTGGGCTGTAAATGATGATGCCTTCTTGTCAGGCAGTCCCACTCCAGAGCTTTCTCTGGTGGTGCTCAGTAATCCTAAATTGCCGCTCCCCTTTCCAGCTCTCTCCTGTGACAGGGCTTCCATCTTGGTTTGCGGTCCGCATGGTTTCCATGCTTAGCATTTGCTAAACTCCTTTGTACACTCAGAGAGCAAGCTGCAGCCCTGCAGCAGTAGCACRGGGTGGTGAGATGCAGCCTTTTTATTTCTGCTTTTTTGCCCAAGATACTGGATCTCCACTCCTGTAGGGATAGGTGGCTTCCTTTAAAGTGACTGCATTAAGCTGCACAATGACAGCACTTASGAAGATGTGAAGATGAGAGGGCATGGGGAGCTCAGGGCGTGCAGACCTGTGGGTTTGTGAGCCCCAAGCTCTGCAGCCTCTTCTCTGTGAGGGGTGTCAGGTCGTGTGGACACTGGCATCTGGGCCCAGCCCAGGGCTCTCTGTTAACTCCCTGACCTCTATACGTCCCTGCAGGTATGAGAGGCTCTTCGSGCGCCTGTCCCACCTGAACCTGTGTGTGACCAATGCAATGCGGGAAGACCTGGCTGAGAACTGGCACATCAAGTATGAAGGGCCTGGGACACCTTTCAGCCTGTGGGTGGTGCCAGGTCCCAGGAATGGCCGAGAGCTTCAGTGTCTACCGTATCATGTTGGAAAGGCATTTTGAAGTACCCTGGGCCTTAGAGATAGTTGCTGGTTTGGGGAGCTAAGTGGGGTGAGGTGGCTGGAATTCTTCCAGGAAGAATCCCTGGAAGTTCTGGTGTTACAATGTCTGTGTTTCCCAAGGAATTCTAAAGCTTTTGTCATAGAGACCTGGATTCCCGAAGTGCCCTTTTTTTCTGGATCCTTCTGGGTTCTCTGTTCCTTAGCCTCTGTCTGCCCTGCCCCTTCCTCTCCTTGCAGGGCTGTGACTGTCTACGACAAGCCGGCTTCGTTCTTTAAGGAGACACCGCTGGACCTGCAGCATGAGCTCTTCATGAAGCTGGGCTGCACCTACTCTCCGTTCAGGGCCTGGTGTGTCTGTCCTGCTGCCTTCTCCGATGCTTTCTGCTGCCCTGGCCCTTCCATCTGCTCCTGCAGACCTGATCCAGGGGTGGGGATGGAAGCAGAGACCTGCTGCCTKTTTCTGTGAACTGAGTCTGACTGGCATTGTCTGTGGCTGTGGTGAGCCACGCAGCAGAAYGGGTTTCGCAACCAGGAGTCTGGGGCCCACAAAGCCTGAAGAATCCAGCCTSTGGCTCCTTAGGAGATATCTACTACCTTCCCCTCCTGCCAGTGGGTTCCTGGGCCTGTGAGGGGTCTATGGACCTCTGTGTCTTCTGGGTGTCCCTCAGGGCTAAGGAGGGGACCTGTGTAGCTCTCAACATGTCCTGTCTGTGCTCCTCAGTAACTGGTGTGCCATCTGGGGGTGGCATAGTGTCCTTGTAATGATGAGGAAGGGTGGAGCAGTGAGCCCAGGGGCAAGCACTGGTGGCTTGTTTTGTGGTAACCTTAGCACCTAGCTGCCAGCAGTGGTTCTGTAGGGTCACCCGGGTGCCAGCCTTTGGGGGCCTGTGGTCCTTGCTGTGAGGGARTGGCTGTCCTGACCCCTGGCCTTCCTGCAGCGACTCACTGCCTTTTCTCTGTTCCTGCAGCTCAGAACCCTCGGGCCCTGCCATAGAGAGGTCGGCCTTCACGGAGAAGGATGCTCGCACTGGGGTGGTGACACATCTTGGTGGGCGGCCGGCACTGCTGGTCAGCAGCACCAGCTGGACAGGTCTGTCTGACCTGGCCTGTGTTCTGGCCCACCACGGGAGGGGGGCGTATGAGTTGGGAGAGGGGTGTTTGGAGACAGGTCTGACACCTGATCTGTTGTCCTTGCAGAGGACGAGGACTTCTCCATCCTGCTGGCAGCGTTGGAAGGTGGGTGCTGCTGCATCAGCAGCTCTGGGCTTGTTGGGGCAGGGGCCGCGCAGCTGGCTGTGCATGGCAGGTCTGCAGCCTGCTTTTGCCCCAAGGACCACAGGGTGGACCTGCCTGCAGACAGTAGGGAGGGGGATGTGGGCAGCTCTGTGGCCTCCCTGAGGGAGCAGCCCCTCCCCCCTCCCCCCTGACTCGTGAAAGGACACCAGTTCATGTTTCTTTTATTTTTTAAATAGAGTTTGAACAGCGGGCATCTGATGGAGACAGCCTTCCTTCTGTAGTCTGTGTGATAACAGGTACCACCTGGGACCCTCGGGCTGCAAGTGTGACTCCACTTGCAGCACGAGGCCAGCTGGCCCCAAGCCAGGGCTGGGTCTTGGTGATGAGGGCACATGCCCCGTGGGGACTCRGGGTGCTGAGGTCGGCTCTGGAAGAGCTCCAGGGGCCCTGACTGGGGCTGTTGAGGGGTGCAGCTTCCTGGAAGTGGCTGCCGAGTCCCAGTGGGAACCTCTGGGGCTAATGGTGTGCAGGGACCAAAATGGTCCAGTGCAGTGGATGTCCTCTGCAGGCAAAGGGCCGCTGAAGGAGCACTACAGCCGCCTCATTGGCCAGAAGCAGTTCCAGCACATCAAGGTGTGCACGCCGTGGCTGGAGGCCGAGGACTACCCGTTGCTTCTAGGTGAGAGCTGAGGGCAACAGGGGGGCTCCAGAAGATGACCAGGCTTCTTCTGAAAAGGGACAGTGAAGATTTTAGTTGCTTCTGTGGCATAGTCTTTTTTTTTTTCTTTGAAACAACTTAGAAATGTAAAAGCCATTCCCAGCTCAGAGGCTCTAATATTGACAGGCCTCAGGCTGGACTGGGTGGCCACCAGGGACTCCAGCCGAGCTCCTGAGATGAGTTTCCTGTTGTGCCGGCTCCTCCTGYCTGATCAGGCTCAAGGCTCATGTGYGCTCAGTCCCCAGCCCTGGCTGCTGTGGGGCCCACTTTCCCTACATGTTGGCTCTCGGAACAGGCTTCTGTCTCTGCTCCAGGAGGGGGCRGGCCTGGTGCTGGAAGGTCCCTCCTGCCTTCTTTTCCCATGGCAAGTGGGTGGTCCTGCTGAGGTCAGTTGTTTATTTGGCTTTATTTTTACAGTGTTTCTTGTTGGATCTGCCGTGGATTCCTTTAAACAATTTATTTTTTTATATAAAAAATTTTATCATGGGTTTTAAAAACTGAGGTTGAATACGTGTAACTAGGCTTGCCATTTTAACCATCCAAGTGTCTGTCAGTGGCGTTCACTACATTTACCTTGTTGGACAACCTTCACCCCATGTCCAGAGCACAGTACTACCACACTGCACAATAACTACTCACAATAACTGCTTCTTTTCTTTTTAAAGTAAATGGTGGTTAAATAGAAAAAGCAAGTCAAAGAGTAAATAAAAACACTAAGACCGTGGCAGTTTTGGACAGGGTGATGGCTGCCGGCAATTGGGCAGCCCTGCTATGTCTCTGCCCTTCGCCCTGGCACTTGGCCAGAATAAGCAACTTGTTTTCTGGGACAYTGTTGTGGGGACATTCTTGATTTCYACTCTGGGAGGATGTGTTCCCCAAACTTTGACTGCCCCCTCTTCTCCCCGCGCAGGGTCGGCGGACCTGGGTGTCTGTCTGCACAAGTCCTCCAGTGGCCTGGACCTGCCCATGAAGGTGGTGGACATGTTTGGGTGCTGCCTGCCTGTGTGTGCCGTGAACTTTAAGTGGTAGGGGCAGAAACCCAATCTCCTGGGGTCGGGTTCTCAGGTCAGCTGCACAGGGTGGGCAGYGTGGCCAGGACTGCTGTGAAGTGCCCCGTCAGGGCCAGCTCCTGTGCAGTCCAGGGAGGCTGAGAGGGGCTGTGGCTGTTGGGGTCAGGGGTCAGGTTGAGCCCCACTCAGTACAGTTGGCTCTCTGTACCCACTGATGGAACCAAGCGTGGGTCATTGTAGCTAGGTCGGCAGTGGTGAGGCCTGTAYGGAGCACACAGATTTTTCTTGTCCTTATTCCCTGCACAATACAGTGAAAGACTGTTCACGTAGCTTGCATTGCTTTAGGTGCCCAAGCAACCTGGAGGGGACAAGAGTATGAGATCCGTGCAGGATACCGACACCACACCATTTCAMAGAAGGAGCTGGGGCACCTGGGGGAGGGGCTCTGGGAATGAATCCCCTGCAGGTGCTGAGGCATGACAGGTTGGCTTTGGTTTGGGCTCATGCTGAATAAAGCACCAAATCTTGAGCATTCCCCCCCCCCCCCCCCCCCCCCCCCCCCCCCCCCCCCCCCCCCGGTCTCGCTCACAGTAAGGAATGTGGCTGCAATCGCCACCTGCTTTACGTGGTTCTCTCCCTCCCCTCCTCTTCCTCCTCGCCCCTTGGCTGAGCTCGTAGCTGAGGTGGGATTACTGCAGGGAGTGTAATTCTGTGACCCCCCTTTCCTTGGCCAAGGTGGGTGCTGGAAAGGGCAGCTCCAGACCAGGTCCTGGAGGCAGTGGCCCTGCATGGGCCAGGTCCTTGCCTGTGYGGGGACCAGCCTCTGGATGGGAAGTTCAGGGGCCAGACCCTCTGTGAGCTAAGCTGGGTCTCTTGGGAACAGACCTCCTGGTGACCTGCCCCTAATGTGCTGAGCCCAGCACCAGGGCCTTGCCTGTACCCTGGTTCTTGGGCATGGAGCATAGGAAATGATCCTTGAGTACATTGTCCTTAGAGGGCGTGTGACACCAAGAGCGCCTCCCCTGGGGCCTCCTCCACATCTGCCTGGCGTTGAGATGTGTCCTCCYACTTCCTTCTGAAGCTCTGTTTCAGAACAGGCTGGGCCAAACCCCGCCCCTGCCCCCAGCCTCGCCCGAGTGGGGTGGGCCAGCTGGGCACCTCTGGACATTGCCACCGCTGGGTCTCAGGCCTCCCCTGGTTCTCTCTGCAGCCTGCATGAGCTTGTGAAGCACGGGGAGAACGGCCTGGTCTTTGAGGATGCGGAGGCGCTGGCAGCTCAACTGCAGGTAGGTGTCCCCTAAGCAGGCCGGGGGCACAACACTGAGCTAGCTCTGCTCCCTGCTGCCCACAGGACCTGGCGGGTGCTGGGCTCTGGAGGGAAGGCTGAGGGAGGCAGTGGGTGGCAGAGTCAGGGCCTGCTTGCCTGTCTTTGGGGATAYGGAGGCTGCACCTTAGGTGGGAACCGTGCTGTACGTGGGGAGGAGCAGACGAGGTGAGCGGGGTTTGTGTGCTGCCTGGGACGTGGTGGTTCTGCAGAGGACACTGTTTCTCCTTACAAAAGTTAACCACTATCATTCTTGGAAGGTGAACAGCTTTCCCTGAACAGGTCTAGGTAGGATCTAGGTCTTGTTATGTTCAGGGGAACTGCTTTGTGAACAGCTGCAGACCATCTGTACACAGAGGGCTGAGTTCCAGTGYAGCTGTTTACAAAGTCAGGTGGGCTGGATCGGGTCTGCAGCTATAGGGTGCCAGTCCCCTCGGGAACATTTGGGTAAAGCCAGAACCCGGGATCACCTGCCTCCTTCCTAGCAGTCAGGTGGGACTATGCCCTGTGCAGGACACCAGGCCACATGTGCTCCAGGGCACAGGTGTGGGAAAGTGGGGGACAGCCCTGGGGAGGGGCAAGTGGGGGACGGGTGCTGCTGGGTGAGCAGCCTGCAGCTGGCAGGCTCAGGGAGGGCTGGCATGGGTGGGTGCCACCATGGGCTCAGTACTGGTCTTCACTGTTCTGTAGATGCTTTTCTCAAAGTTTCCTGATCCTGCTGGAAAACTAAACCAGTTTCGGAAGAACCTTCGGGAGTCAGAGCAGCTTCGATGGGACGAGAGCTGGCAGCAGACTGTGCTCCCTTTGGTCATGGACACATGACCCTACAGGCCCAAGGCCAGCGTCCCTGATCAGTTGAGGGGTGGTGCACCATCCTGGGGACAGAGAGACACTGCCTGTTCTTCCCTGTCCCTGCCTGCTGCCCTGCAGCCACCCGGGCTTTTATGTAGTGACCCCAGTGGTCAGGCCAGAAGGACGTCTGGGGACTGAYGGGAAGCTGGCTCTTCCTGGTTTCTCAGGCGCGGAGCCTGTCTTATCTTCTGTCTGAGCGTGCTGCTCTCCTGGTGCCTCCTGTCCCCTCTTCATCCTCCCAGCTTCTGCCTGTCACGCTCCTCACCTGGGTTCCTGCGGCCTCTGCGCCCAGCTGTGGAGCCCTACTTGTTAAAGATGTTTTTATTTTTTATGAAGGCAGTTCTTGCTTTTGAGTCAAAGCCTGGTTTCGGGCAGATGGCGATTTCCTTACAAACTGGAGCTGAGGACGGGAGGGGCACCCACAGCTCAGTCTTACTCGTCAGGATAGTTTGTTTCCTGACTTGGCATGTGGCATTCTTCACTCAAGTCCAAAGGAAGTTTYATCAGCTTTCCCCGTGAAAGCTCCTCCCACTGCAGTGACTTCATCTTCACAGGTTCAAATGGCGAAGCTACAGCWTGAGTCTCAGGACTGCCATCTCCGAGTGCTCTTCATAGGGGAACAGTTTCTGGCTGTGAGGAGGCACTGCCTCCCAGCGGATTGCGGCCCGGCCTGCAACAGAGCGCACACCTCAGGACGGCAGCGCTGGGCCTGGGGCTGTGTCTGTTTTCCTTGGCTCACAGACCCCGGGCTCACCCAGGTGCCCAGGCTACCTCCAGGCACTCTGGGTTCCCTGTCACTGCACATGTGCACGTCAGTCTGCCAGGGTGGGGGGAGCTGACTGACCCCACGTCTGCCTGGCTGCTCTGCCAGCACCACTCCTCACTCGGGCCAGAAGAGGCACGTTGTCTTCGTGAGCAGGGTGGCCGGCGCTGCGAGCCAGGTGGCTTCTTAGTCATAGTTATAAGTGAAAAGTCACTATTTATAAAGTGAAAAAAGGAAATCTGTAATTCTATCATCTAAGTATAATAATTTTTGGTGTATATTCTAGAAATTCCCTAGGCAATAAGATATATAAAATAACAAGCCCAGGTGTGGCGGTGCACACCTGTAATCCCAGGTATTCAGGAGGCTAAGGCAGGAGGATCGCAAGTTTGAGGCTGGCCTGGGCAACTTAGTGAGACCCTGGCTTAAAAAAGAGCTGGGGTGWGGCTTGGTGGTACAGCATCTCTGGGTTCAACCTGCAATTCCCAAAAACCAAATGACAAACTACCACAGTGGGACTTGTGCTCTGTGTGCCGATTGGCACTTTGCTGCTTTCACTTGAAACACATTAGAGGTGTTTTCCTTGCTCTCTCTGGGGCTGCACAGCCTCCCTCAGTACTGAGTGCTCCTGTCTGCCTGCTCGTGGAGGGGCATCTGGGTGTCTTTCTGCATGGAGGTTGGGCAGGGGAGTCTGGACAGCTCCTAGGAGGGGCCTTGYTGGGGGGGCAGTTGGTAGACGGGTCCCCCCTGTACCAGCTTTTGTGTGGAATGCTCTGGCTGGGCCTGGCATGCTGGGGCTGTGGGGAGGTGGCTGGGGGACACAGGCTGGGTGATCTGGCTGAGTCCATGGAAACTGGTCTGCCCAGTGTCTTCACACCTAAGACAAGATCTAGGCTGACCCATGCTGGCCCACAGGGCATTACCCGAGGCTGGGAAACAGCAGTCCCTAGGCCACCTCTGCAGCCAGGTCCTTCTCTTACTTGCACTGGGTGTCCATGACCGTGGCTACCACACTGCTGAGGGCTCTGTGTGCCAGGTACTGCCCTCAGTGTGTTCAGGCTGCATCTCCATGGTGCAGATGGGGGGACAAGTGACAGTCCTGCTCCACGAGGGTGGAAGTGGGACTACCTTGAGCTGACACTCTGCATCACAGAGTGATGCATGTGGTTCAGAACCCAGCTGGCATCTCTCTCTGCCTGCATTTTACAGGGAATGAGGCCCTAAGGCTTATGGAACCTGCCTGAAGCACACAGTAGGGCTRTGGTCTCTGACCTCTGGGGTCACCGTGTTGGACTGCCTTGGCCTGAGTGCCCAGGCCTGGTGTGTGGGACGGGCTTCCTGGCTTTTCCCAGGGCTCCATTCTCTTACCTTCCTGGTTTCTGCCTCCCTTGATCCCTCACKGGAATAGCGCGGTGGCCTGTGGCCTGGGGGACTCACCTAGCTTGGTGGTGAACAGCTGGTAGGTCTCTGGGTTGCGCATGGTGCAGGCCACATAGACGTCAGGAACCCGGTCCCTCTGGCAGGCAGAGAGCCTCTGCAGGACCCCGACCAGTGCGAGGGTCACTTCTGGGCAGTACAGCACGTCTGTGATGCAGAGCTCTGGTTACTCAGGGGCCTCAGGACTCAGAACCAARTGGCATGGCCAGGCTGCTGCTGACCTGGGGAAGGGTGAGGGCCTRCAGTGGCTGTTAGATTAGATCTATGCTGTTGTGCAGAAAGATTGCTCAGGTGACAGGAAAACCCTCAGGACACGAGCCAGCGGGGACTCCCTGGCCTCGAGGGAGTACTGCTGGGAACGCTGGCYGCGCCTGCTCAGAAGCTGCTTGCTTAGTGACGCTGTCTGAGCTCTGCTTTGGGCTTCCGTGTCCTGAGCTCTAACCTGTCAGCTGTAGTGGGCATGATGTCAAGTCGGAAAGGGGACGTAGGGCTTTTGGTGGCCTAACCACTCTGCCTTCTCTTAAGGACACTGTCYTTGTACCAGAAGTGGTTAGCCTCTTCCTGTGGCCTCGGAAGGCCTGGGGTCTGGACCCAGGCAGAGAGGTGTAGACAGAGACAGGCAGGTCGCCCAGCATGGTGGTGGCAGTGAATCCCCAGGACAGCCCTGCACAGAGAAGACAGCCGGCACTGACAGGTGGGGCTGCTCAGCTCTTGTTCCCCGACTGCCCCTGGGACCCCCCTCAAGGCCTGGTGTGGGACTGGGTGCTGGTGACAGGCAGGAGACTGCTGTGGCCCTGGAATGACCAAGGGCTGCCATGGCTGGCTCTCCCATCTGAAGACCTACAGCGTGGTGCTCAGAACACTGGATGCCTGGTGGTGAAGTGGCAGCAYCTCTGAGGGGCAGGGCATGTGGGCTCGTGTGCAGCCCCCTGAATGGAGGACCTGCATGGTAACTGAGGCCTCCTGGGTGTCCTCTGTAGGACGAGCCTGGCAGAGGGCTGTTCTGCTCAGCTCAAGCCCTGGTGGACAGCCAGGGCACTCCTGATGGAACCACCCCAGCAGCAGCACCTGGAAGGGGCTCCGGGTGCTCTGATGCCTCCCGGAGGCCCGGGCGCCCCTGCTCCCCACCTGCAGCACCTGTTCCCTGGCCCTCAGCAGAGCGCTGGCGGGGCTGGCCCTGGCTTACCTGCTGCGATGACAATGTCTGGCTGGAAGGCGGAGAGCTGAGGGACCGTTGCCTCATCCCAGTCCAGCTGGGCCACCGTCACCAGGGGGCTCTCTGAGTCAGCAGTGGCCTTCGGCTCCAGTGGGAGGCCGTTGAGAAGCACGTTTCCTCGGAGCTGCTCGAGGACACGGCTGTGACAGTCACTGAAGGTGTATGCTCGGGGGTGGCATGTCTTGCAGATGACCACACCTGTGAGGCCAGCGCCACTGCCCAGCTCTAGCACAGACCTGGGTGGGYGAAAGGGGGCCTGTCAGTCTGTGCCAGGGCCAACCCGCCTGGTGCCTGCCCTGTGCCTGAGGTCACCTGTGCCTGAAGGCTGCTGGGTTCTCCATGGCCCACTCTGCGAGGTAGAGGGCTGCATCCCACGTGACCAGGCCCGTGGTGCCGTGGGAAACGATGGCTGTGCTCTCCGAGAGGGTGACTGAATCTCCCGAAGGCTGCAYGGAGAGACGGGGGGATGAAGCCAGCCATCTGGACWCGGGCTAGTGTAAAGTCACAGTGGYGGCCACACCACAGCCACCACCCGGCAAGGGAAAAGAAACTTCCCATGCAGCAACCATGGTGTAGCTTGGGCCAGTCGGCATTCGGGAAGTCGAGGGGCAGGCTGGACGCCCCCACAGGTGCCCCCAGGCCCAGCTCTGACAGCCAGGGCCATTCAGCAGAGGGGTGGCAAGGATAGAGTGTGGGAGGGAGACCTTGGGTTGTGCCTAGTTAATGGACAGGACTAATGCTGGTGTCTGCGGCCCACAGCAGAGTGAGGTACACAAAYTCAGGGACGTGACTAACAGGCGGGATGGCGGTTACTGTGCTGGGACTGGCTGGGTCAGGTGGAGGGCYTCAGGGGCTGCTGCCAGGGTTCTGTCCCACCACCAGAGTGGCGGTCACTGTGGCTGCTGCCGTGCAGTGACTCTATAAGCTCTGTATTTCTTGCGTGTGGTTTTCTGTAGCTGTTTTATAATAGCAGCTTAAAGCAAACCAGTGAAGCAACCCCAACCTCCTCCTGGCTATTGTGTGCAGAAGGGGTTTCCATGTGACAAGAATAGGAGGGGTAGTTGGGCCAGTGACGGTGGTGGCAGTAGAGTTGGAAGAGACTGCTGTCCTGGGAGGTCCACACAGTCAGGTGTGAGCTGAAGGCTGGACACAGGTCCTTGCTAACGAGTAACYGAGTGGCTGCCTGAGCCAGGTTCTGTTGTTTATTGGAGTGCCTGATTTTAGGTGAGGCAAAGGAGGGGTCAGGATCAACCCTGGGCCAAGCCCTGCTGTCACCCGCTAGAGCTGGAGCACAGCTGTTTGGCYTGTGCACATCTCCTACCAGCACATAGCTTCGGTGGCACTGGGTGGGCTCCTCTGTGGTCAGGACCTCTGCCAACGCCTCGTACAGCTCGTCCAAAGGCTCTGCGTGGACAACCTCGTGCTRCGGGGGAAAGACCCTCAGAAATAACACCAGATTCTGTCTGTTTGCCTCTGTGCCAACCTGYGGCTGTGTTAGAGGGGACCTGCACCTAAGTTAGGAGATCTGGAGTGAAATGACTTAATAGAGAACAGCTGGTATGTAAATTCTCAGTTGTGGGTAGCAGGGTGCAGAGTGAGGGTGGCACAGTCTAGGAGAGCGGATTCCACTGAGAGGAAGCTCTGCCATTTTCACATGGAGGAGATCTGAAGGGAGTCCAGCAGAAGCCACAGTAAGGTGCCCACAGGGCAGCTTGCCTTCCAAGCTGCTTCCCAATGGCTACCCCAGACCCGGGCTTCCCAGGTCAGTGCAGGGTCTGCTGGAGGGCAGACACACTTCAGGTGGTGCTGAGACCACCACAGAAGCACCATGTGATGAGGCCCGGGGACAGGGGTGAGGAGAAGCAAGGGTTACTTGTGTGCTAAGCTCAGTGAGGTGTGGCCCTGTCAGTTGGTGGCAGCTGAGGCGTGTACTACTGCCSCGGAGGAACCGCTTCTAATGTCGTCTAGCACTGAGCCTGACGGGCACACGTCCTGTGCCACTCAGGAAGCCTGCTCAGTCAATGGGGAGAATTCAGTGAGGAATCAGCTCTGAAGGCACTTCCAATAGAGGCTGGCGGGCCACCCAGGGCTGGCAAGGGCAGGGCGCTGTCAGAGCCTGCCACACGGGCAGGATGGAGGGAGGAGGGGCTGCCTGACAGGATGAGGACCTGCCTGGTGGGAGGGGCCCAGAGGAGACACAGYTGCTGCCAAGACCCTGCAAGCAGGTGAGGGAGAAATGCCCAGCCTTGCCTATTGCACAAATCCTGCTGGCAGCCCACTGTCCAGGAGGCCCCTGCCCAGCAGGTATGAAGAGCAGGGAGGGACGTGAGCTCCAAGAGGCAAAGCCCTGGYGGGGAGCCCCCTCTGCAGAACCGGCCTAGTTCCACTTGTGGTCTGGTTACAGGARACACTGCCCACCACTGACCTTTTTGATGAGCTCCAAGAGAAAGCTCTGGGTGTACTTCACCGACGGTGGRTGCCTTATACACACAGGATGTTTCACTGTCTATGAAAAAAGAAAAAAAAAGTTGGTTGCTGGAGACACCCTGTGAGCTTCAGGCAATTAGAGGGTGAGCCCAGTTACCCACTGCCTTGACAAGGGTGTGCAGGGACATGGCAAGATGTACCCCAGGCACCTGCAAGACTGAGCCTGAAGATTTAAGCTCTCTCCTAAAAATGCTCCTACCCTAGTCACACAACTGCGGTTTCTAATACCCACTCGGGGCAGGGACACAGGCACATGACTGGCTCCCTTCCTTCCAGGGTAGCCAGTAAGAACTGGAGTCTGAAGGGAGGACAGTGGTCAGATTTTCTGGCTTCACAGAAGAGGCGAGAGTACAGCAGTGTGAACCAGACCTGGGCACCTGTGCTCCTGGAGGGAGAGTCCTAGCCAAGAAGCAGGCCTGGAGACCAAAGAGGGAAGAGGCCAGGGCGGASCCTGGACCAGGGTAGGCGGAGGAAGGTTCTCTGGGCTGATGCCTCAGAGGCAGCCTGGAGAAGGCAGGAGCAGGAGCAGCAGCAGCAGCCTGTACAATTCCAGGCAGCACAGCTGGCACTGTGGGAAGGAGCAGGAAGCGACTGGCGCTTGGGGAAAGGCAGGTGGGGAAGTGGGCCTGGGGGAGAGGCAGGGCTGCTGCSAGGAGGGACCCAGAGCTTCACGAGGGCCACAGGATACTCACACAAGCCCTAGGGGCTTTCTAGGAGGTCCACGTTAAGATTGATTTATTAGATTTAATGGACAACCACAGTAGGTTTTTTTCTTTGCTTTGCTAGGAACTGAACCCAGGGCTCGMAAATGCTGGGCAAGTGCTCTAGCACTGAGCTGCCCTTGGCCCCATAGTAGGCTTTTAAAGCAGCTGTTGTTTATGCTCTACTGCCTGTGGGTGTGACACTGGGTGGAAACCAACAAAGCCCCAACCACTGCACCACCCTCAAGTCTTCCCCTGCTCTGGCTGCGTCTTTCCCACACTCACCCTCAGYACAGGAATTTCTGACCTGGGCTCCTTGGATGGGTTTTGTGTTGGGGAGAATGTCTGTGTYCCCCCTGAATTTGCATGCAGAACATATTCTTCAGATGTGTCTTTCCAGAARGGGAGACTCTAACTTTGAGAAGCCTCATGACCTTGAGAAGTTTGTGAACTGCCCTTGACCCACATGGCCAGGGTCAGGGTGGGGCACACCTCTATCCTGTGTGGAGATGCACTTCAGAGTCCAAACCCYACTTCAGCAGAGCAAGGGTCCCTGCATGGGTGTGAGAGACAGGAGTTGGTAAGACGGGCTCTTTACTTTGCTTTAAATGCAAAGAAGAAAGTCTCTGAGCAGCTACCACTTGCTGGGGGCTGTCCCTGTACCTGTCAGGTCTGTTTTCACTGCGGATGGTTTAAGAACATCCCCCAGCTTCCCTCCTCTCGAGCAGATGTCTTCATCCAAGAAAACAAAGGAGCCAGAGCCGTCGGAGGCTCTGACATTATGTGCAGCGCTGGATGGATTTGTTCTTTGAACATGGTGTTTTCTAAGGGTACGTGTGCACTTGTGGCTCTTCTGTCCCGATATGTGCCCAGTGATCCTGGGATTCTTACCTTCTGCAGAATATCCAGCAGCAGCTCGGAATCTGATGACGTCCTTAGTTTCTCTTCTAGGCTCTGTTTGGAGGGGAAAGAGAAATCTCAAGGGCATTTTYGTAGGAACATTAAACATGCAGTAGAACATGCTGGAAAAGCACTAAGTGATCTTTCCCCTGGGACCTGGAGTCACTTGGAAATGGAAGCCATGAGGCTAAGGCCCGAACTTCAGATGTCAGAGGTCACACCGGGATGAGTCACAGCAAATGTCAGGGGCTGACTCTTGGTTCCCATTAGCCCAGGCTGTTCAGTGGTCACCTGRGTCACAGAGCAGCTCCACAGCTGAACTGGAAAGTCATGGCATGAGGTTGGATAGGCTTGTCTGGGACCTGACATAGAATGTGCAGATGCCAGGTCCAGTCATGCTGTCCTCTTTCTTCGGGGACTCCAGCCCACCAGTGAGCTCAGGCTGCAGTCAGGCAGATGGCCTCCGCCAGCCTTGGCTGGTATGTAACCCCAGGGCCCCTTGCCATGCCCTAAAAGGCTCTCCCAGCCTGGCTGCTCTGACTCCATCTCCCACCACCCTGCCCCATCTGGGCTCAGGTGGTCCCAACACAGGACATTCCTTGAGGCTTCTTACTGACCACTGTGTCACCRTTCAGGGCCCAGGTCAAATGATGATTTTTGGGGAGGCCTTCCCTGAGTCCCCTACTTTGATGAATCTTCCTCCCAGTTCTCCATTTTCCTGTTCTATTGGTTTTCTGGCCACACTCATCTCCTGGCTKCTGCTTACTAGTTGTTGATTTATCCTCTCTCATCTGAGCAGGTCCTCATGTCTAATGTGTACTGCTGACCCCTGGCTCCTAGAAAGCATTCAAAAAACATTTGGAAGCTGAATAAAGACACCAGGTAACACTTGTGTGCATTTACCACAAGCTAAGCACTGCTTCAAGGGCTTTTACACTCAAGTGATTCTGAGTACAAAATAATATGAGGTTGGTATCATTATATCCCCCATTTTACTAACTAAAACTATGGCACTGAGAGATGTAGTCACTTTTCCATGGTCACACAGTGCACTGGGGGTTAGGTCAGGATTCAGGTGTCTCTCTGGCCTGCCTCTCATCTACYGCATTCTTTTCTTTTCTTCATGAAGCCTTTGCTCAAACTGAGCGACAGTAAGAGGCCCCACCGCACGGGTGTTGGGGGTGACCCCAAGTAAGTATCTAACACGGTTTGCCAACAATTACTCTCCATGTGAATGGGGACCTACGGATGCTGTTAGRCTTTCAATTTTGGCTTAAAAAATGTACACGTCCCTCCTCAACGGAAATGATCTGAGTGCTAAATGTTTTATGTTGATGAAATAACACAGGAGACTGGCCACCACTCCATCTGACGGGCAGGCCCGGAGGAATGGGTAACCAAACAGGCTCACTCCAGGGAGCTCAGTGCACATGATCATCTACGAGGCGGGTCCACTAAGCCCCTCTGTGGGCAGCGGGACCACTCGCAGGCCCAGGACACGGGAGGCCCCCCCTTGGTCTCTTGGCCTAAGCTGCGGGAGTTGTCCCTTGCTCGACACCGCGGAGGCCACCACTGGTGGGGTCCTGCGACCAGGCCCGCGCGCCGGAGAGCGCGGCTCCTGCCGAGGACGCCCACCTTCCCGGAGGCGCGAGGGCAGCACTCCCAGGTGGCCGACGGCATGAGACAGCAGGAAACCGGTCGGGCACCGCCCGCGACCCTGGAGGCCCACTCGTCAGCGAGCCGGGAGGAGCCCGCCTCCCTCCGCCCGGCGGAGCGGCCCGCAGGCTGGGGGCAGAGGCCGGGGCTGGCTCCACCCCGCCGCGGCCGAGTCGCGCCCCCGTCTCCCCGCGCCCCGCGCCCACCTGCCAGGGGAAGGAGCGCAGCGTGCGCGCCGCCAGGAAGCGGCGCTCGAAACTCTGCAGCAGGCGCGCGGTCTCCGCGCTCTCCTCGGGCGCCATGGCGGGGCGGGGCGGGGCCGGCGTTGCCGGGAGACCGGGCGGAAGCGGGGCCCAGTCGGCCGGAGGCGGGGCTAGGGGCGGGGCCAGGTGCGGCTCCGGGGCGGGGCTAGGCGAGGCTCGGGTCCGAGAGACGGCGCTAGGGGCGTGGCCAGGGGCACCCAGAGGCGGGGCTTGGAGTGCGTGAGGCGGGACGCCCCGCCCACATGGTGGGTTTAGGGCCAGGCCGAGGCCAGACGAGGGGCAGGGCCAGGAGGCGAGGCTTGGGGCGGAGCTAAGCGTTGAGGGTCTTGGGGACGCTTGGAGTGGGGCAGAGGCGGGGCTTGGCGAGGGGACTTGGGAGGTGTCCCCKTGTTGCTGGGGTTCTGGAGGGTTAGAGGGGGCCCGGGAGCCCAGTTGGCGGCCTGTGGGCGGAGCTGTCGGGCCTGGGTCTGCAGAGGGGGGATCAGGGTTTGGGCCCTGGGTGCGGATCTTCACGCTCCCGAGACCGGGTCTGGGAGCCGGGAGGCGGGGCCGGGGTCGCTCCTGGGAGGGTCCAGTCAGCCCTTCTGTGCCTTCAGGTGGGTCTCGGTGGGGGACAGAGGAGAGGGCGCGTGCGGGGCGCCCTCTCCTTGACAGCACCCTGCCCATCAGGCCGCCTCTCCCGGCCCGGCAGAAGCACCCCGCACTCCTGTCCTAGCCTTTGGATCTGTCACCCAACAAGYTTTTTGTCCACCAAACGCTACTAAGCGCCCACTGCATGCGTGGCTCTGTCAGGCACTGGGGCTGTAGCTGGGAAAATCCAGGTGTGGGCCGTGCCCTCCCGGGGCGGGGGCGCAGGGCCTCGGGCGGGCGGGCCGGGAGGTGGCCACCGAATCAGTTCTCTCCGCAGGCCTCAGAGTGAGCACACTGGACTCCGAGGGCTTCCGGCAGGGTTTGGATCTTGCAGGGAAAGGGGTCTGAAGGAAGAGTGGGAGCTGGCTTCTGGGAGTGGTTTGCAGAGGAATAATGATTCCCCTTCAAGGCGGGACAGCTAGCAGCTCACTGGCACAGCCCCTGCAGTTTGCTCCGTGTTCAAGGTCTAACATGTTTACCTTAGCAGATCTCTCATAAAACTCCATTTGGAAGAGTTCCGAGCTTTAATTTGTTGTATATACTTGCAGAAGGTAGATGAGGGGACAGATTAAGCCTTTTTATCTCCTTCAGATGAGAAATACTTGAGCTCTGATCAGCTTTGCCAACTAGAGAGGGGAATTAATTTTAATTGAATGAAAGTATTAGCTCTATCTGTTGTTCCTCTCTGGACCAMCAMCAACAACAACAAAAACCAAAAACAAAAGTTCATCTTTTATTTCCTTAACACTGCTGATTTGAATAAAGACAGTGGACCATGGTTATTGCTGTGTTTTTACCCAGAATGAAGAGTTTGTGAGTCCSAGATGCTGCACGGATCCTCAGTTGCAGCGTTGTGAGGCTGTGGCCTGAGACACTGATGTGCTGGAAGCCGSCTGGGTCTTGGTGGTTAAGGAAGGCTGGCTTGAGAGCTGGGGCAGGGACACTGACTGGCTCTTGCTGTCTTGCCTTAGTAGACAGTGCACACCAATGGGAATGGTTAGGTACACTCATAAACCTGGGCTCATTCTCTGAACATGCATATTAGTTATTAATCACCATTTCTCTGTGGAACCAAATGCCATGATAGTGCTGTGGGGTGCACTCCTCCAATATGAATAAATCCAGCCTTTCCTGATGCCAGACAGGAGCAGATTGAGGAAGGACCCTACTTGGTCACAGGTTTGACCTGTGCATGGAGAAGACGTCTTATCTTGGAGTGTAGGCTCTCAGGAGGGACATGTCTGAGATCTAAATCTGGGGTAAAGGAAATGTACCCCTTAATCTTTTAGGTCTCGCCGTGCAGTGTGATGTGTTCAGGTGCAAGTGACGTCCGAGTGGTGTTGATCTGGAGAGCAGGATAAGGCCTTAGCTATGCCCTGATGCAAGGGGGAGCATGTATACAAACCAGATGAAGGATTCAAGTTCCGGATTTGAGGCTTTCTATTAGGCAATAATAATAACCCAATGCATTTTAGCTGTATGGAATGGTGGCCTTTGAGAAATGATGCTGTGGGCATGGTAGTTCAATCAGTACATTGAGGTCTTTCCTTTCTCTCTCCTATGGCTAATGGGTTCTGTAAAAAGGGGCCAATTGATTTCTTTTTAAAATGTTGTTTCAGGGGGTGCAGACATTTATAGGGCATGTTTCAACTTACAGAAAAATTTTATAGTTCAARTGTAAATTACATTAAAYRTGGACTCTGTAATGGAATTTAAGGTTAAGTAATGTTTCGACTTTCCTTAGGCTGTTTCTAGCGTTCTGCGGGTCAGGGCGGGGTGTAATAAGGAATACAGTTGGGAGATGGAATCAAGTTCAGATGCAGTCGTACTAGATCAGAGGAGGCCCTGAATCCATCATCTGGCGTCCTTAGGAGAGAGAAATGTGCCACAGAAAATCAAAGACACAGGGGAAGATGTCCACGTGGCCTTGGAGACAGAATGGAGTGATGCCGCCACAAGCCAAAGAGCACCAAGGACTGCAGGCAAGCACCAGAGGCCCAATGAAGCGGGAAGGACCCAGGGGATCCAGGGAGCACGACCCCGCCCGGGTTGTAGTGCTTTGTTACAGGAGCCCTGGAAAGCTAATGCAAGTGGCTACCCATCTTCTGGGACTCAGTGCAGAGTAAAAGTGCACGCCTTTGCTACCCAACCAGGCATTTAAAAATGGTGGCAGCAGATGATGGGCTCTTCTGAGCCCTGGCCCCAGTGGAACTGTGCAGGTTGCAGGTCCAGGAAGCTGCCCTCATTCTGGGTTCTCAACAAGCCCGATGCTCAGTGGCTGCAGGAAGCGGTTGGCTGTGGGCTATTGCAAAGCACAAGGATCAACCACAGGAAACCCAAAGACCACTCACTCCTTCTTCCGGTGAATGACTGTGTATGTCACACTAGCGATAAACAGGACCCCGAGACCTCCCAGATTGACACCGAGTCCAATTGCTGTGTTTTGGAGAGCAGGCACCCTCAGTCTCTGATCCTGTTTWAAAAAATCAGAGGGTTTTAAATCATCTAGTTCTTAAGAGGGTTCTCTGGCTGCTCCTGGGTCCCTGGGAAGTTTCCCATCCAAGCGTGAGTGAATATTAAATATGGAAATGAAATGTACATTTTAGCCCCAGAAAGTGCTCACTGTAGAGAATTCTCAGAGGGCAAGTCGTTGAAAGCCGATTTACTAAATGACCTCTTCGCCAAATGACCCATTTGCTTAATGACCACTTTACCAAAYGACCAATTTGCTAAAAGCCAATTTGCTGAAAATCAGTTTGTGGGATGTCCAGCTTCTCAGTGACGGACAGTGAAGCGCCTGACCTGCCCCAGGTTCCWGACAACTGCTGCAGAATAGTTGGAGCAAAACTCTAAAACTCAGAAGGAAAACACCCTCAAGGATTTGGTGGCCTCTTCATTCATTTAACCTCTTCCCTAAAAAAAACAGGCTGTTTCCTGTAAGGTCCTAAGAGCCAAGCTGTGGGCAGTGCTCGCAGGGGAGAGGCTGAGTACCTTTGTGAGTGTCACTGCTGTGAGCACCCCGTAAGTCACTGGATAGTAGTTAAGTCTTAAGTCGGCCAGTGTTTGTCAACAGCCCTCCGAGGAGGGTGGCGCAGAATTCCAGAGAAGACTCCGTTCCCCTGCTACGTGGCCGWGTGCAGCGTCTTGACCCCGTGAGGTTGGCCGATCTCATTTCAGGCCCTTCCCTCCCTCTTTTCAGCAAGGAGTGGAAGTGTGAGGTTCCCCCACTCTGGGCGGCCCTCCCTGCTCCTGGAGGAGCCTGTTTTCTGTATTGAGCAGGACATCCTCGGGGCAGCTGGCATGATTCCTGAGGACCAGCAGGGCAGGGTTATACCCGACTCCGCCGGCGGTGCCCACGGAAATCAGGAGGACCCCGGCTTCCTCAGCCCCGTGTTTGGAGCTGCTCTCCTCTTGCTCTGAGGGCTCCGACGCTGCTGGGAAACAGGATGGTTCTGCTTGGATTCCTTCCTCCCCTTCCCGCCAGAGAACCCTTTTATATCTTTCATTTTTTGGTGCTGGGGGTTGAACCGGGGGGGCTTCACCATGGGGCCACATCCTCAGCCCTTTTCATTTTTACTTAGAGACAGGGTCTCGCTGAGTTGCCTGGGGCCTTGCTGAGTTGCTGAGGCTGGCTTTGGACTCTCCGGCCTCCCRCCTCAGCCTCTGGAGCCGCTGGGATGACCGGTGCATGCCGCCGCGCCCGCTCCCTTTTTGATTCTTTTCCACTCAGGACAGAACAGACGGCAGTCACCCAGGAGGTGCTCCTGGACTCTCGCCACCAGCAGCAGGTGAGACTCAAAAGCAGGCGCTGGGTACCCCGTCAGGACCCAGGGCCCAGAGGATGGCCTCGCATGCTCCAGAGAGGGGACAAACGCCTCGACTGGAGCTTCAGGGCAGGCAGGTGGATGGGCCTCAGGGGAAGTGTGCTCAGCCAGAGGCAGCCTGCAGTTTGGACAGGAGCCTGCGCTGGGAGGTGGGGACTGTTAAAGGGCAGGGCCTAGCTGGAGGGCACGAGGTCACTGGAGCTGCCACTATGGCTCCCAGACTTGAGGACTGCCTCACCGCAGGCTCAGAAGCCCCAGAGACAAGCCCCCAAACTGTGAGCCAAATTGAACYTTCCCTCCTGCTGAGTTGCTTGTCTCAGGTGTTTTGTCACAGTGCCAGACAGTTGCCCAACAGCCCCTGAGACCAAAGGATTTTCTGCCTGTTGGTCAGTTCAGCAGAGATGGACCCGCAAACAGCTGCCGCTCCCTCAAACTGCCGGGTCAGTCAGGCACTCCTCCTGTAAGTACCCCCAAGTCACTCTGCACCTGTCGGGTCACAAACTTGTGAACCTGGTTTACAGACACTGGGTGTCAGGGGAATGGAGGCCTGGGCGCTGGGCCGCGGTGCTCCACGGGGTTCTGGGTGCAAGAGGG